CTTTTCAGGCTACTGTCCGGTTCTGCCTTCCAGCTGTTGCTGCTTGTTCTCGCGATATTTCGGCCACGCTTTGGAAAGCAGAGCTAGATGGTAAACAACAAACATGGCCGCACACCGGTAAGGTAAGACAACATGTTTACATGTCGTTCTCTTTATGTTCTCTGACATTTATCCTAACGATATGAGGCGGTCTTTGTGGAAAAAAAGCTTGTTTAGTGGACTAACTTTGCACTTGAAGGTTGCCCGTTCACTTACGTTTTAACAGGTCTGACGCTACTATGCGCCCCGGCTGTATCTAGGCTAACGGCTAACATGCTAACTATTATTTTTATGTCACTAGTCACTTGAAACAAATTTAGGACGATAGGAGACAGGTTGAAATAAACCAAAATTTCCCTTTAACTAGGACGTTAAGGAAAATCTTAACTTAAGGTGTTCTGTGCAACCGGCCCCAGGTATTTCTGTCAGGGGTTGGTGGAGACCAAAACAGCGTTAAAAGAGAGTAAATATGCAACATATTGTCTCATTGTTGAAGTCTGCAAACTCATTAATATTCCACTGTTATTCCAAATATAACATTATTCCATTTGGTCCAGGTCATGTCGTCAGCAAATTCTGTTTAGACATTCAGAATTAGCACTTTTTCAGAATTAAGCTATTTCCAATTAAGACGTGGGATATGCCGTATTATTCAAGTCTCAGGAGCATTCTTTGGACGTATATACAGCGCATTCCCATTGTGCACTTTGGGTTTTTACCACACTTTGCAACGCACGGCCTCTGGTCTGTTTATGGTCGGCTCTTGCCAACAGTTTGCAATGCTGGGGTAGAGATGCTCCAAAGAGAAAAAGAAAAGCCCACATTTCTTGTCTGAAGGAGAAACACATCCACTTTAAACATTATTAAAGACTCTGAGATCAACAGGTTTTTGGATATGTGCAAATATCGTAACGCCACCATTTCAAGAAGGTGGTTGAAGGAATGAAAGAGGGAGTCTGTGGTCATAATGTTGAGCAAGTTCACACCAGTGGAAAACTTTAAACCAAAATGAAATATTGATGCAAAGAAGCAGCTCTTTTCCATATTTTGACGTAATAAATGACATGTTAGCGTCACGTTCATGAGAGTGTGCATGGCTGCATTTAAACAGGAATATAAGTGGGATATTAATTTTCATTAGCCATGGAAACAGCTTAGTAGGAAAGTTGTCTTTTTTGGAATAAAGGCAAAAACTGTAAGATTTTGTGCACAACAACAGAGTCAAAAACAATTGTAGCTGCTTTAGGTGCTGCTTTGGGAAACTTTATGAGCCCTTGTAGAAAACATTTGAAGAAAACACCTCCTTGGCCCCATTCCCCAAAAGCATTGTTTGGTGAATCAGGTTTGATTCCTTCAGCAGTCAGATTTTTATGATGGTCATCACAAATATTATGGTTTTGTCTTTTAGATACACAACTGATGGAGCCTTGGATTTGCTCTTTTTTAAAAAAAAAAAAAAATTCTGGATACAGTTTTTGTGTCTGAAATGTAAAATGTTGATGAATTAATGGTTCCAGTGCAAATGCTAGAAGCTAAGTTTGGTTTTGAAGATGCAAAACAACATGCGAAGATTTCCTAAAATCTTATTGATTTACTTTAATCTATTGAATCTAGGTTTAAATTTCTGACAATGACTGCATCAGTGGCTGCACTCCGATGCCAACCTTGGTCAGTGCCTGCTCTGTCCTCTCAGGGGCGCTGCGGTACGCCTGGCTGATGTCACTGAGGGGTAGAGGCATGTACTGCAAGGTGAAATTGCTGAGAGAGAGGAAAGAGCAGAAGAGGAAGGAAGGAAGGAAGGAACAGAGGAAGGGTGGAATTATTGAAGGAGACAGTAACGGACTAAAAAGACAAAGTAAAGTGGGTTACAGATTCAAGGGTTAGTTAAGGTTAATATCCCCAATGGACAAAGCTAGTCCCAAAATATCCCTGCTATGCCATGCAACGAGTGAGTAATACTTTGATCTTTGCAACCATGTCATCCTCAGCCTAAAGGTAAGTCTGGACCATTTAAGATAGCAAAGTGGAAAGCAACAATTTGCTCAGCTCATGTAGCAAATTTCAACATGCTTAAAAAGCTCTTAAATAGAAGGTAAATCCATCACGCTTTTTTACAGCGCTCTGTTCTTGTAGCAGATATATAAGATACCCTCTTGTTTATTGATGAAATTCTAGCAGGCACATAAAAAAATAAACGTTGATGATGTTTTAATGCTCTTACTGCTCAAGTGCTCGGGCCACATCTAGAAATCCTGCTGCGGAGGTGTTGTTGCGATCCCATGTCACACTCCTGCAGGGCAAAGTGGTGAGATGCACTGAATGCAAACCTCCATATAGAGCATTCGAGCTGTGCTGCAAAAACACAAGTGTCCTCTCTCTACATTTCTTTTCCTTCACCTGAGCGTGGTGTTGATCTGCAGGGCTTTGCTCAGCATCTTGGCTCCGATGTCGTCCATGTTGTTCCCGCTCAGGTCCACTTTTCTCAGGCAGGTGTTGCTGCCCAGGGCGTTGACCAGCACGGTGCCTCGTGAGCGCAGGCGCGAGTCAGTCAGGGACAGAGTCTGCAGGGCCTGGAGAGGCAGAGGGGAAACAACGGAGGGAGAGACATGTGCGTTAAACTGAGTGTGTGTTGGGAGGGATATTTAGGTATAAATTAAGATGAGAAAAACTGAGTGGTGGAAAGAGATGAGGGGCTCTGGAGCTGTGAGGATAAAGTGCAGCGGTGAGATTTACTGCAGAGTGATGTGACTGCTCGCCAACATGACTTTACATGCTGCACGTATGAATTATTTACAATATGTGTGTGTAGCGATATAGACACAGCGCCCGCAAGGGTGACAGGGACAGTAATAATTGATGTTGCAGTGACACCTCCACAGTGAAACATAATGCAAAAATGATGTGTCTCCGTGGGCGCAGGAATGTTAATGCTGAGGTTGCTGCAGCACCCCTACTGACAGGGGGTGGAAGAACAAAATATCCAGATAAAGAAAGGGCTATCTGAACATTTGTTTTAAAGAGAAACTTTGGTATTATTTAACCTGGACCCTATTTTTACATGTTTTTGTGTCTGAGGGTGATTTCAGATCTAGAGTCGTCTCCTTTGGTCTGAATCAGGGACTTGTGTTACAAAGCTGCATAGTTGCCTAGAGTTGGTTCGTGTTCTCACAGCAGCATTTACAAGAGGACCAGATCAAATGCCTTGTGTGAGAAAGCTGCTCTTGATTGGTCAGAATTTCCATGTG